TTTAATGTAGCTTCTTTACTTATTAAAAATGCGTGAAGGCTAAATCAATTCWCATAACCTAAAATTATCCTTGCCCTAAATACCATACACCATCACAAAATATGTCATAAATATGGTAAATTAACAAAAATGGAGGTTCTTTTAAAAATCAATATATTTAAAAAAAGAAACAATTATTACTTTAAATGTATGATGTACAAAATTAAACGCCTTAAGGAATATCATCATAACTACAATAAACGTATTCAGGGCCTTCTCTTTATCTACGACATTCGTGAAATAGGCAATAAGCAGCGACGCCATTTTGCGCAAAAAAAGTGTGACTTCGTCCTCGTACTTTCTCATGTCCGCTAAAACAGTCATCCAGGAGAAGTTGTGCTGTTTCTAAAAAGAAAACATAATAAAAACAGCTTTTAAGGAGATATTTTAGGGCCTGCAATAAAAATCACAAAGAAATATCATGTCTTATTTTATTATTGTTCATTCGTGCATAGATACATCTGCTAGCAAGTGCTCATCAGATCATGTCTTATTTTATTGTATTGTTCATTCGTGCATAGATACAACTGCTAGCAAGTGCTCATCAGATCATGTCTTATTGTATTGTATTGTTCATTCGTGCATAGATACAACTGCTAGCAAGTGCTCATCAGATCATGTCTTATTTTATTGTATTGTTCATTCGTGCATAGATACAACTGCTAGCAAGTGCTCATCAGATCCTGTTGATCACAGTGTGAACAGAACTTGGAGGGCACACAATATCAGCCAAATAAGGGCAAACGATAAGGTAGATTTTATAAAGAATGGATCCGATTGGTACGCMAATGTCACGTGGGTGSCACCGTTAGGTAAGGATGCTATTTCAACCATAGTAGGCGTTGTTGTTTTCGCAGTTGTAGTCGTTGTCACAATCACAGTCGTTATTGTTTTCACAGTTGTAGTCGTTGTCACAATCAAAATCGTAGTCGTTGTCGTTGTAATAGTCGTAGTTGTAGTCGTTGTCACAATCACAGTCGTATAGTCATAGTCACTGTTTTATAATGTCATGTTCATGTTTATATATACATATAACGTGTTGGTTTCCTTTGCACATTAGATAAGCGTCTCTATGGCTACCTAGTCGTCTGGACAGCTGGAAATGCAGGGCTAGATCAATATTGCAAAGAAGTA